CTGTGAAGAAGTTATTTTAGGGTATTTTTAACCTGGTATTTGTTGTGTGGTTTGTCCGATGTCAGGTGACGTAGACATTAAAGATACTGATTTTTTTTTTTTTTTTCCCCCCCAGCAGGTTGTTGCTAACTAGGGGCTGCCTGTAAGGCTTCTCTAACAAGTCTACTTCTCCCCAAAAGTATTGTTCGGGGTTTCCTATGTTAGCTGTTTTCCCAGGTAGTTCAAAGAAGAGTTGTGAGACGCTAGGTTATTTGCAATACCTTTTCTTTTTCAAATTGGTTATGCTGAGGCACACTGAAGTCTTGAGACAAGGTTTTATTGCTGCATCTATCACTAGCTTATAATTAGACTTAAATAAACTTACTGTTGTGTCCGCTGGAAGCAATAGATTTACTAATCATTTTTCTAAGAGGAGCATCATGCTAATAATCCTTTAGCTTGCTTCTTCAGTTTCTCTACCACTCCTGATCACTGTTTTTACCCTGGATCCGTATTTACAATGAATAAGTTAAGTACCACATGTTATATAAATGTATCTTCACAGTTTGTCACTTTAATCACTAATGCTAAGCATACGTTATTTCTGATAACATTCTGTTTTTTTAAGACTAAATCTAAATTCAGAGGAGTTTCGTGTAGAGCAAGGTACTGCAGTTTATTAAACAAAATTTAACAGCCTTTTCTCAAGCTGATCTTAGACTTGTTGCTCACCGCCTGCACCCTCCATGCAATTGGCTTTTGGTGCTGTTTTGCATAGTTAAAAATATCAGCAACTGCTACGTTGCGTTTTTCTTCGTGATGGCTTGTTGAGGGAATGGCTGACATTTCAGTGCAGCATCTCTTGCTTTCCTTGCACTAGCTTGTAAGATGAACGGGGAGATACTGTGCATTGTAATATATGTCAGAAGGAAATTATGTGGTTAGACCTATCAGTCTTTTAGGAGTATTGTTGCCATTCGTCCATACTTGAAATCTAGCAAAAAGTTTTACAGGAGGTTAGACTGCATTTATGTTTGATTCACCGTGAAACACACTTGCAGAAGCAAAAGGATTTCTGGGTATTACCTGCTAGCAATAACCACGTGCATATATATTTTGTTTTCACCTCATTGGATCAGTTTAATAACAAGAAAAGCTCCTGCCTAACAGGGTGGATATTTGGGTAGCAAAATGCCCATATCTGTGATGCTGAGAGAAAGAGATAATGCTGTTACCGGGCATCAGCTTTTTTCTTTCTTTTAGGGATAAATGTGTTCAAATAACTGCTTGCTTATTTCATATTTGGTAGCAGTGTGGCAATTTTTTTTTGTAGCAGGAAAGCAGAAGCCAAAGTAATAAAAAATTTTGAATTGCAAATGAGTGCAACAGCTCTCCCATCCCCCCCTGCCTGAATGTTTCTGAAAACAATAATTCTTAGAGAGGTAGGTGACTTCTTCCTCAGAGTCCAAGGGATGGCAGACACCAGGTCTTGACTGCAAAGAGCGCTGTGATTCAATAACATATGCAACCATTGAACTAAATAGGACTTAAATTGAATTGTCTACCTGTGTGCGTGTAAGTACCTTTTTGAACTGGGGCCTGTGGTCCTAGAGTGGAAGCATTTAATACTCAAAAGCAGATAAACAGAAACAAATTGAAGCACTTATATGCATCTTATCATTGATATTTTGGGATTATATATTTTTGAAACCTGGAATACTGGAGCATGTGACAGCTGTTGCCTAAATTCTGATCACGTAAGTAGCTGAACTGAGTGGGGTTTGGCATCTTTAGCAGTTTGGTTGCTGTGGGGTTTTGGGGTTCTGTGTGAGATGATTCTGTCCCACAAGTGCTAGTAACTGGTCTTTGCCTTCTCACAGCCCTTTAACCTATATCTGGGATAAAAAAAAACCACTAAAGAATCTTGGCATAACAGTGACCATTTAGAAGGCTTGAACCAATCACCTTGGATGATAAACTACTTCCAGTCGGACTTGTTTGGTCAGTTTGCTCAGGGGAAGGTCACCTTAACAATGAAGTTGACTTGGCAAGGGTCACTCGACACCGGAGAGCAGGAGCTGTGCCTTTTGCTGGCCTTGCCCGTTTAGAGTTGCTCAGCTGGTGGATAAGTGATTGTATTAGGGTCTTTAAGATAGGGGATAAAATAAGCTTTCTTGAATGTGAAGAGAGTACACCTTGGGAATATGCCTTTGGAGCTTCAGGATTCAAGGACAGTGCCCAGATTCAGTTAGAACACTGCAAACGCTGCCTCGGACGTGTACTATAGCCTGCTTTTCTGATAACGCTTCCAGGGCAGGTTAACAAGGTGTGCACGGCCAGAATTTATCCCTGTCTGTTTTGCTACAACCTGTTGTTAATCTGATTGCCCAACTTGAACAGAAACTGCAGAGTTTGGGAAGAGATGGGAAGTTACCAGGACAGAGGGGTTCATACGGCTAGGAACTTGCTGTAGAAAAATGGGAGGTAAAACCTGTGGCTTAACTGAGGTGATTTTATGGGGACAAGTGGTGGAGCTAGAGTTAATAGTATTATTTGCACTTGCATATTGCGACCTCCACTGATGCTGGTATCAGGGCAAGTTTAGGAGTTTCTGGTTTTTGTGCTTTACTTTTAAAGTGATGAGGGGAAAGCAGACCAACTGAGATACACTGTAACAGTGAAGGGCAGGAGACAAAGTGGGTGGTCTTGCTCAGTGAGCGTCAGATACAGTTCTTCAGAAGTCTTAAATAAGTGTATGTGGTTGTATTTGGGCGTACTTTTGATAGTCATTGCAAGGAAGAGAACTGCTGTTTAGCATGCAACTACCTTCTGTTACTTGAATAGCATTACCTATCCTTCAGAGCATGTCAGGGTTAACATTTATGAAGGAATCTTTCACTGTTTTTTCTTGTGTAATTGAGCTGCTGCAGGCACCAAGTCTTGCAACCTAGCTCACACTAGAACTGTTATTGCTAGAATAAATTGACAAGAATTCCCATTCCTTTGCTTTGCAATGTGTCAGGAGTATACAAGATGAGCCAGACATTCCAGTAAATTATTTCAGAGTACCCACTGAGGTGTATTAGGGCACAGAGGAGAATATAGGCTTGCTTGTTGGATTAACAGGTGTGGAGAGCTGGTATTTCATCTTGCACAGAGCAGTCTTAGACTCGGTGTCAGTTGTTTGACCTTGCTTAATTCAGTCCTACAACAGTTGTTGCAACATAACGGGAAACAAGGAAACAGAGAAGCCAGTCAGGAGAATCTTCTTGAATTCAGGAACTAAGACTAGGCAAATCTTTACTTTTTTAATACTACATTCAAAGGCTGAAAAAAAGACAGGTAAGGCATTTTAAGTGTTAAATAGTAATGGAATTAATGTCTCATTCAAGTAGTATGTGCTGCCAAACTTTATGCTGGCAAACTATTTGAGAATCCCAGTTGGACAGCTGTGCTGAATCAGTTATTTCTGTCTTTCTCTATCAACACTAAGCACAGAGAATGTGTAGTGAAGTTCAAAAGTGAAGACAGTGATTTACCAGGATCCAGACTTTGTATATAAATCTGCAGTAGTAAATGAGCTTTTGTTCAAGGAACTCAAAGCACTTTCTGAGGAACACATGCCTGTGTTGTGTTGAATGTAATTCATCCTGTTTGTGTGGATCTGAAATCTGGGGCTTGAGCTGGTGAGTTGTCTACCATTGCAGCAGATAACACTCTGTGTGCATGCATATCTAGAATATGAGCTTGATAAGAGATGGCTGACAATTGTGGCTTCTGTATCACCTCCCTGAACCCAGGGGACTTTGTAGTGTGTGAAGTGCTATTGGAGAAATAAATTTGTGTCTTTTAAGACAGACAGTTTTACGGTTTAACTGAAGAAGGTCTACTTAGGATACTATAATTTTTTCTGCCTCTACTTAGAAAGTGACCTTAGGCCTGTGATAGCACCCATCTTTAATATGGCACAATGAGTTGTGTCATATTAAAAGCTCTTGGAGCAGAATTAATCTATTTGGTTTAGTTGCCAGCTATGAGTTTATTACAAGCAATGTCCATAATACATTTAGGGGAGTGTGTGAGTATAATTAGATTGGTCAAGTTAAAGTGTTCTTACCTCTTAATAAAGTGTGCAGTTTCCACACATGCACACACGTAAGCCTCAGATCTATACTGTGTATTTTTTCACATATTTCTAAATTTTTAGTAGGTTATCAGTAATTATGAAGCTGCCGCCTTGTCCCAGGAAAGGAAGTTAGGTTAACAGGTTTTATGAAATTGCGTCTTTTTCTTCCATGTAGCATTCAGGCTAGGAACAGAAGGGAAGGTTGCGTTTGTTCCTCTCCTTTTGTGTAGCTGCAGTAATTCTGATTAATTTCATTGTTGCTTAGAGACTTGAGTAGTAAAATTGATCACCGTCCTACAGGTTTCACTGTGTGCTGTTCTTGGGGAGAAAATGAGGCTAACAGTAATGGAACTGTCTGCCTGCAGGTTCAGAGAATGCTCTTGCAATAGTTATATTCTGTGAGGTTGGCAGCATAACTATAAAGCTTACAAGTACTTATGCAAGATATAAATGCTTTTTGGCTTTAAATGCATATCAATATTGTACAGCAATTGATGGGTCAGTCATCTTAGCAAAGAAAGCTTCCCATTTACTGAAGGTGATAATGATCCATTTTTTAGAATTGAGTATGTCACTTTTACCACTGCTTTGAAGATATAATCCATTTGATTTGTGGAAAAACAGCCCAAACTCACTGGATAGCCAATTAGCAGACAAAATAAGTAAGGACGTTTTCAGTAAATGCTTCACTCCAACCTACTCTGGATACATTTGTTTGAGAGAAAGCAGCAGGTGTGAATGACTGGTCTGTTTTTCCACTTGTTTTACTAGATCAAAAATGCTACATAGTAACTGGTTCAATAACCTGTGAATTTCTGTTTATTTTAAAGACAATCTCTTTCTTCAAGAGCAAAATCATAATTTTTTATAAATATTTTTGTTTTCTTTCCTGTAGGGGTTCTGCGGTTGCCAAAATAATAGGCAATAATGTAAAGAAATTGCAAAAGTTTGCTTCCACAGTGAAGATGTGGGTCTTCGAGGAGGATATTAATGGGAGAAAACTGACAGATATCATAAATAATGAACATGAAAATGTAAAATATCTCCCCGGATACAAGCTGCCAGATAATGTGGTAAGATTCAGAAGCTAAATTCTAGTTATGGAGCAGAGGGAATATTGCTTATGTTGTGACTGGAGGTAGAAATTTGTTTTGGTAACAACTTTAGGGTTTATAATATTTCAAACCGTATGCTATTTTACTGATGAGATCAGAGACTGAACAAGTAAAATTATGCCGTTAAGCAGGTAGGCAAATCCAATGCACTGTACTCTTTTTTTTTTTACTCTTTTTTGGTCTCACTGTTGTCTTTATGTTACTTCAGCTTCTGTATAGGGAAGCAAATGTGAAAATGAGAGCAAGATTAACAGCTCTGACCATACCTATTAAAAAAAAAAAATTTAGCCTCAACTTTGGAAGGGAGCAGGTCAGTGGGAATTGAAGGTCAGTGAGAATTGAAGGGATTTCAAGTACTCTGAAACTCTTAGAAAGTATTACAGGATAAGAGCTAGAGTATTCTCGAGCAAACCGCAAGCCATTTGCGGTTTATCTGGTTCTCAGTTGCGTTTCAACTATGTGCAGTCAGATCAGCATGTTAGATGTAGCATTGCCAGGGCAGAACAGTGGGACCCCATATCTGTTCTGTGTTGGTGTAACATGATGGTGGGTGGGCTGGTGGTGACTCTTGCCCCAGAAACCTTACAGGAAGAGACTGCAGCAGCTGACAGTTCAGTAGAGATTTTGGGCAGGAAAAACATGAATTGCCGTGCATTGCAGTTTTCTCTTTAGCAATAATGCTGAAATCCAATTTCCCTAGCCTTCAGCAAGTGTGGTGTTTCTGCTGTCCACTACCTGCCTGTTCAGATTTGTTCTCTTTATCAATAGGTCGAGCTTATTGCTACATTTTAAACCTTAGTGTTATTTTAAGATGGTCATCAAGTGTTGGGAAAAGTGCAGTCTGGCAAGTGACTTCAAAGTAGATCACCTTCTTAAAGGGTAAACAAAATCTATGAGTACAGAGAAAGAGAATATAAACTAGTAGGTGTAAGAGGCCTGGAGAAGAAATTTGAGTGTATAAGGAACTAAGTAAAGAAACGACTTTTCTGCATGCAATAATTTATCAAAAATTGAGATTGTTTTGTCAAAAAGAAGGCAGCTTCTTATTTTATATATTCTTACTTAAAGTACTTGTTTGAATGTTACAGAACATTTTGAATTTTCATTGCACTAACCATGCTGGTGGCTGTGAAGATGCCCCTTTCAAGACATAAAATAGTTTGTTTGAAAGCTTAAAATCTTTTGCTTTTCTAGGAAGTTTATGTTACTGCTTATTTTCAATGATGAAGCACAGTAGTTCGTAGCATTCAGTATAAGACCAAAATGTGCTTTTACTTAACCAGATAACACTTGTGTGTAGCGTTGATTTTAAGAAGTTACATGCCCTTTCTCTCCTGTAACTACACAGGTTGCTGTCCCAAACCTTAATGAAGCTGTACAGGATGCAGACTTGCTGGTTTTTGTCATTCCTCATCAGTTCATTCATAAAGTCTGCGATGAAATCACAGGACGAATACCCAAGAAAGCACTCGGTATAACTCTTATAAAGGTATAATAAATACTATGCATTAATAACTGAGAATGTGTCATGGAATCTTCTAAAACAAGATGGCTTAGTATTTTGATATGAAAAGTCTTTTTGCATTATTCACTTGATTGTTCCATTAAACCTTCCTAGATGTAAGACTGAAATTTGTCTCGGTCATTAGTGGATTGTTATGCAGTGTTTTATTTTAGGCTAGTGCTTGCAGGAAGAGGAGAATGAGGCTGTTCAGAAGACTTTTAAAAAGAAAGAGGGAGTGAATATGTTTTGCACCACCAAGCTTTCCAATCTTTCATTTGTTGTTTCCAAATGCATCATTAGATGAAGAACAGAGCAGACGCATAATGCTTTGATTGTTAACGCACATCCCACACACTGAGTTGATCATTTTAAGAACTGCTGAGAGAATTTCATGTGACTGAGAGGATAGTGCTCTTGTTCATGTCAAATATTATGTTGCAACAAGAGAGTCTCTTCAGCATGGCCCAAAAAGACAGTTCAAGCATAGGAAATAGGAGGGGCCAGAGGCACAGAAAGTGTTTCACTGGAGTGTTTGTAGTTTTGGTGGCAGGAGAATTTTTAAATGTGGATGGGCTGCTTTTTTTTTTTTTTTTTTTCTTCCCTGTGTGTTTAGCTGCGAAGAATAAGCTATTCCCACAATGTCTGGAAGATTCTGGTTTGTTGTTGCTTTGTACTTAGTTGAGAGTAGGCCATTTTCTCAGCACACATTCCCTTGCTTACTGTCATTTCTGGAAAATGATACATTTATGGATCTGTGCTTAGAAAGAACAAAAACGCCTTATCGCTACTTACTGAAAGCCTGTCTCTTTAGTTTGGCTAACTAAGCCTATGAAATCTGTATTGTTTTGTCAATGCTGACCTGATATATTACTGAGATGTATGAAAAAATAATGCTTCCCAAGTGCACTTGCTGCATTTTGTAGAAAAACTTTTCATATTGTAAAAGGATAAAATAAGGCTGAATGCTTAGCATCAAAACCGCACAATTGTCCTAGATGCCCTTAAGTTTATTGCTCTGAAGTTGTCTGTTCATGCTTCTTTCCTCTGTAAGCTCAAGATAAACTTTATTCTCCTTTAATTTGCTAAATGTGATTTATGTTCTCATGTCCTTAGATACAGATAGAAATAACTCTTATGAAATCGGTGGAGTAAATGACGGCTTATGTCAGCATATCTGAAGTCGGAGTCAGGGCCTATATACCCTTGGGATTACTGCTTTGGATATTGATTAATGGAGTGTTGATTAATGGCTATGTTTAAAGAAAAAAAAAAAGGAGAGGGTATTTATTTTGAAAAAAAAATAATCCAAACCCCAAACAAACAAAAAAAACCCAACAAAACAAAAAGCCTGTACTTAAGGGTAGTGTAAGTAAAATAGTGACACGTGCCATGCAGAGCAGAGTTGATTACTAGGCAGCTTCCCACTGCCATGTTGCGACACTGCATCAGTGGGCGGTCTTTTGAAAGAAATGCTGGAAGGCGCCTTTTAATTTTTCTTGCAGGAGAATGCAAAGTACGTTAGCTTTTATGAAAAGGCATAACTGTGCATCATTAAAAGTATCATTTAAGAAGAAGGGGCAGAGTAGTAGAGGCAGGAATGCATTCTTTCTTCTACTTTTGCAGCTTCTTTATGCATGCTGTTTTCATCAAAGTCATATTTTTAGTGGTCTCATTATACTCAACACTAATGCTATTAAAGTGGCTTGTGTTAACTTTGGCAGTTAAAGTGCAGTTCTGCTCTGAAAAATATCATTAGTGGGACGTCTTGTTTCTATGCTTTCTAAATTGCTTGGCAAGTTAGCGGTGTGTCTTTTTTTTTTTCTTTTTTTGACAGTCTAATCTTCAAGCAGGGCCTAACGTCTGATAACAAAACTGAGTCTTTGAGAAATAAAGACATTTCTCTGCTGGTTAATCTGTGTTCCCATTGAAGCATTTGCAGCTGTGTTGCTTTACATAAGTTCTGATCACTGGTGTCTATGAAAGCCTAACAAATCATTGTGTGAGTGTGAGGGGAGGAACTGTATACAACTTACGATGTGGTACAGCAGTGAGTACAGGAAGCAGGATAGGTGGAGGTCACTCAAAATACTCTTCAGGCAGCCTCAACATAAATCTCATTTTCATCTACCTATATACAGGTCCCAGGGATTGCTTTGGCAGGCATGTTAGAATGTAAGCAATAAGACCACAGAATTGGACTTGCATTGCCTGGGCATCATTTCTGCCCAGTGGAAATTCCCATGTTGGAGCCTTGGTTTTGGGGGAGGAAGGGGGTGCTTGTTTTTTCTGCTGTCATCTTGTCATTCAGTATTGGATTTAACTCTACAAGAAACAGGTGCAGCTCTCCTTGACTTTGTCAGAAGTTGCATCTGTTTCATAGTGGGGCTGAATTTGGCACCTAAGCCTCTCTGATCTCCTTTCACTTGGATGAATAATTGTTGTGTACGTATTCATATTTTTGGAGTTGTTCCCAATGTGTGCATGCTTTTCTGTTTATTAATTGCCTGCTTAGGAGGAGGGGCCTTACAGTTATTTTGTGGGGACATTTTTGACACTGTGAGGGGAAAAATACAACATGTATATGTGTGTGTTTACTTTCAGATTCTTTCTGTATGGCTCATTAAAAATGAGACAGCAGAGCTGTGCATTAAGTGATGGAAATTGAAAAATAATGCAGAAATGCAAGCACCATTGTCTGTAGTTTAATTGGCTGGTTTTATACAGGCATTTCTGCGTGTCTCTTGATTGCACCATGTAATTTAAGGAATAGCACCTCTGATCTGTGGAAATGCAAATTACTGCCTGCCTGAAATGTCACTACTGGCAACATACAAGTGTGTGTGTGTGTATATGTGTTTCTGGATGTAGTAGAGGATCACACTGCCTTTAAGTCATAATTCAAAATTACCAATCCCCAAAGGTACCAAATCCCCAACATTAAAAAATACTACTGTATAAAAGGTGGTATACTGTGGGAAAGAAACACCATTGCAGTACCTTCTCTGCCATGCCCCTGTTCTAAAAACCCAAAAGGAGAAGGCTAGGAGAAAAGGGTTTTGTGAGAAGACAGTGGTCTCATTTGGAGTTCTTGGTTCAGGTAATTCAGGGTACCAGACTCTCTTCTCCATTGCAGCATTCATCTCTGGGGTGATCTTTTCTAAGGTTGTATTTCTGCCCCTACTTTCACACTTTGTAAAGAGTGCGTTATAAATACAGATTAAAAATATCCTTAGAAGTTAAATTATTCTCAGTTGTTCTGCTTTCTACATATCTGTGAGTGGCTGTTCCATTTGTAGTAGTATTCAAAATGATTAAACTGGGTTTCTACCAGTTGTTGGTATTATACACAAGGGAATCTGTCTCTGATATTTCAGTTCAGATACCTCTTCACAAAACAAGTTATTGGGATGCTATTTTGTGAGTTTTGGTGCAATTTCAAATGCAAGTGGAGGCCTGATTCACAACTGATGGATTGGTGATGCTTCGCTGGTTTTAGTAAGGATACACTGATAATAAGCAGCTGAGATTCTGAACTAACAAAGCTGAATATTCAGCACTTCTTAGAATCAAGTCTTTGATTGAGAATGGAATAAAAACTGTTACCATCATCTAGAGTTTAGTCCTAATTCTTAAGGTGCTACCTCCTATGAAAAGAAGACAGCTTGGAGAGTCACGACAGTAGCAGAAGTTTCACTGGTAGCAAGTGTGTCATCTTTAGTCTCTATCTGAATAGGCCTTGTTGCAGTTCTCACCCATTGACAAGACTAACTGTGATGTGCTTTCTTCTCTACTGTGTCTAATGAATGACAATGACTTTTTAGTAATTCCATTTAATGTTGGCTGCAGGGAATAGATGAAGGCCCAGAGGGACTCAAACTGATCTCTGACATTATTCGAGAGAAGATGGGAATAGACATCAGTGTGCTGATGGGAGCTAACATCGCCAATGAGGTGGCAGCAGAGAAATTCTGTGAAACCACAATAGGTACTGTTCCAAGTAATAAGAATGTTTAAAACATGCTCCTGTCCTCACAGTTGCACAACAAATAGCTCAAATTTTATCACTTTCAACATTAGCTGGCTGTTATCAGAAACCATTGGGTTCTTATTTCAATTTTGAATTTCCTAGAATGTTTACATTTCCAAAAGTACTAGGACAATACCAGGAATAGAGGGAGAGGGAGGTGTGCAATTTTACCTAGTCTCACTAGGATTGTGACCTTAGCAGGTGGAATACTAAGCATGCTTTTTATCACCCTCTGCATAACAAACTACTTTGTTTTATTACTCTGCTTAAGATTTTTCTTGGGTCTGCATGGCTTTATATGGATAAATGATTATATATTTTGTACTCCAGCTCAGGTGTTATGGTCACAGATGGTACCTTTATGCATGTTTGGGTTGGTGTTTTTTTTTTCTTATTTTTTTATCTTATTTTAATTTCTCAAAATAATTAGTCCCCCCAAAAGCTAGACATGGTTTTAGTTCTGTGTCGATGTCTGCGCACCTTTGCAGCACAAAGATGTGCCTAGTCTTGGATTTAACAGTGTCTAGATAGGCGTGTGTGTGTGTATATGCATACAGTCATACGTAATAGCACAGAGTTCGTGTTATTTTTTCAGTGTTCATTTTTACAGTTTTGTGCATTTTTAGCTTTGTAACCTCTCATTAACAGCTTTTGCATTGAACTTATTTTGGAATGGTTGAATTACCTCTTAGTGCTTAGAAACATCTGTCAGTGGCAGCATGCTCAATTAATAAAACATCCTTGACGTGCCTTTATCAGTAGGTATTTTTCTGAAATGCAAGCCTTAAAAATAAGTGGTAGAATTGCACCTGCTATGTTTTTAATTCACCTTTGGTTTGTTATTAACTGTTATTTTTAAGGAGAATGATCAAAAAAGAGAGAGTATAGAGAATTAATGGAATTTTTATTTAGAATCTGTTGCTGAGCAGACAATGAATTATGAAGAAGTCCAGAGTAACTCAGTGCAGAGCTTGTCAGTGCCATGTAGACATATCCTTAGTCACTTAAAACAGGAGTCTGTTTAGGTTGAAGATAGAACAACCTTATCTCTGCTTTTAAGTATTTTGGCTCGTACAGGAAAGGCTAAATAACAGCCAAATAAATTATTCATTTTTTTAGCCTTCCTTTCTCTGTCTCAACAGGGAGCAAAATCTTAGAAAATGGCCTTCTCTTCAAAGAACTCCTGCAGACTCCAAACTTCCGAATAACTGTAGTAGACGATGCAGATACGGTTGAGCTTTGTGGTGCTCTGAAGGTAAGATTAACAGGCTGCAGTTGGTACACCAATGGAACGGTGATCCTTGTAGAAAAGAGAGGGTATTTTCATATAAAGAATTAAGTTTATTATGCTTTATATAATATATAAAACTGCTACATAACATTTTCAGAAGAACCAGATGACAAATTAGGGAGCAGCATGTTCTGAGAGTTGGATTTTAGACCCTTGTCTCACCATCTCCCAAGTTCTCTTTCTACATCTTTCACTTAGCTTACACACAGTCATGAAACAAGTGTTGATTTCATCTAACTGATCAACATATTTCTAAATCTATTTTAGTTCCCTCTTTCTTTTTGCAACAGTGTGTTCACAAAAAGAAAGGGAGAAAGAAGTTGGCATTAATCCTTTGTGTCTGTTGACAAAGCTTTTCTCCTCTTCATTGACTTACACAATGAGAGCACTCCTATGTTTTATGTTTTGTGGACATACACTACATAAGGTTCATATGGATAACCACATACAGAAATGACCTGAATAGGAAAAAAGTTATTTCAGACAGTTACTCATCTGGAATTTTTTTGGTAACAAAACTGATGTTGACAGGAAGCAAAGGCTGGCTTAAACATATTCTTATTGCTATTTTTTTCAGATTAATTTACAGGCCATTTGTGAAAGGAAGGCATTAGTCGCTTGGCACCCTGGCCAGTAGTACTGTAGTTCACGTTATCTGATATCTATCACGGAAGCATTTCTGATGGGTGTAGTGGTCTAATAGATAATTTGGCTTACTTTTTTATTTTTTTATGTTTTGGATAATTATTTTGTAGTTCTTTTGTTTTCTCTGTTGAAATTATGTGTAAACTACACCATTCACCTGCAAAGCTTCCAAGCCAATGAATGATGTCTTTAAGCTAAGGAGTTCTGATTCCTGCTCAGTGGGAAGTAGATTCATAGCTATAATAGAATTTTTGGCATACTGGTTTTCTTGATAAGTTTGTTTTGAGAGCTGGCATACTGGAAGTCCTGAGGAGGAGGTGGTTATGGGTCTGTGCACTGGGCTATTGGGATACACTTTGGTGTAACGTGTTTTGGAGTTACTGTATTTATAGCAATTTCACAAGATTGTGGAGCTCGTAATTCGGCTCCACAGCCATTGCTTTAAAATGCTGTGGTGATGTGGAAGGTTAGCAGGAAAGAAATCCCCGTGTATAGACCCATGAAATTAGTCAAAAAGTTTGACAGATTTATTTTTCTTTGAGATCTGCTTAGCCTGATGTTTTCTGGCTAGCTTCAATCCTTGTTTGATAGAGGAGTTCTGTCCCAGGTAATTTTTATTCCAGACAAATCTCATGAAAGGGCGCTAGAGATAAGTGTGTCCATCAAACTGAGCAGCTAGTCAGCAGATGCTGAAACTCCACTGTAAAGGTCCAAGTCAGGCAAGATACCAATATCTCTTCGGAAGTGCAGAAGAATTTAAGTAAATTGTTGTTCTTGACCTGGAAAGATACTGAGGTGAAACTTGTGTATTTTCTTTGTAGCCTTGTTTTGTTCCTCCCTCCTGCTTCATTATTCATCACGCATCCTGCAGACTGAACTCTCTAGTTGCATTTCTAAAAAGCTGTATATATTCTGTGTGGTCTGGTCATTTGGTTTCGATTGCAGTATATTTTGTTAACTGAGTTGAGACTTCCAAAGAAATGCATGGTATGAGCTCTAAACAAAAAGCGAATTAAGGATAGATTAACTTGTTTAAAAATACTATGGATTTCTTGCCTGATTAAAAGGCGTGAACTGGTATTAAGTGGCATAGATAAGTCATGCTAGTATAGGTGATATTTTTTAAACATACAGCTCTTCCTTAATCTCAAAGAAAATTTTATTAAAATCATATTTTTAAAAGTACTTTTTCATTTAAAACCCTTTCTTCTTTAATCCTAAATCTTGTGCTGACAGCATGTAAATAATTTCCTGAGCTGCTTTTAAATCGAACATTGCAAAATTTTATGAATGCATTGGGAACATGTATGCCTCTGAAAGAAAATGAAGAAGCTAAAATTAAACAGATGAGTATGTTTTTATTGCCCATGCAAAGCAAAATGCAAAGCTCAGATGTGAATAGTGAGATGTAAACTTGAGCTTTTTTCTTAGAAATTGTACATTCTTATTATTAGGAGAATTGTTTGCTAAGGGTAACAACAAGCACTTTGCTTTTTTATGATTACTCTGATATTCTTTGTAATAAAAAATGTGAAAAATAAGCATCTTTTCATGTGATTGTTTTTAAGGAAAAATCTAAAGTGTAGGTTCTGTCAGCTGACAGTTACTTTATTAAACTTGGAAAGTTACTTCATGAAAAAATAGTAAAAATTAGCAGTATTTAACTTGCTGGAAGGAGGAAATTCCTGTTTCAGAAGATGACAGTGTCGTGTGAAGAGACCGGTATAAAAAGAGAGGTTCTACTCTATTTCTATAGCAGTGCCAATTCGAAATGTCAGCAGCGTCACTGCAAACTACAGCTTAGAGGACAGAAGTAAGCAGGCACACATGCCAGTCCAGACTGTCTTTTTGGATGTGGAAATAGTAAAAGCAACTCCTGTATTGGTATGTAAAGGATGAGAAATACTACACTATGAGAAATAGTATATTCTCCGAGCTTCTGCATTTTTCTATATATACCAGCTTGGGAAAAGGAGACTTTTCTGGTATTTCTGGCATAATAGACTAGATCTTGTTAAAAGTCTATACTTGCCTCGCTCTTTATTTCTGCAAGCCTTTCTAAGCAGGGAAGATTTTCAATGTGGATGGTTGCTGAAAGGTTGGGAAAAAATACAGAAGGGTAACAGAGCACAGCTTTCCCTTACAATAATGATAATTTTAGGTTTGGAATTTGGTGTTTGAAGCATATTTGAATTCAGACTGTAATAATAGGTATTGCAGCTGGGTGATCATGAAAGAACATGTGCTTGATTGCTATTTATATACATATATATGCATATATATATATTGAATATCCACTTCATTTACTGTATTTATTTTTTGTGACAATGGGCTGATGGAGATGGACTGAAGTACAGAAATCAGTGCAGTGAAACTGCAGTCTTGCATCAGCTTGGAGACTGGCTGAATAGGCAATGGCAGTCACTTTACAAAATCTGATGATACTGAGGAATAACAGCTGTCTGCAGTAACTTGTTGGGTGTAGGAGCGAAAAGTGCTCGGCATGTTCTTCTCTATCAGGATATTTTTCTTTTGAGGACTGAAGCACATTTCACATGTATTTGTTGACCTTTTCTAAGGGTTGAGGTCAGAAATTAACAAACTTCAAATTTGGATAGTTCAGTTTCAAGGTGTCCAGTTGGCTTTACAGGCAGCCTGACCCAAGGCCACCTACAAGTTCCAGCTGCCATTTGCCAGACAATGAAGGGGCCTTCCTAGGAAGTGCTTAAAGGTTATGACACCACTGTAAGAGTACTATGTGCAGCTCTGCATACGTATGGATGTGCTCCTGGGTGCTGATGGATGTGGTACTGTAAAGTAGCACAGACCCAAGGTTATCACCTCTGAGGTGTCCTTAAGAGTCCTTAGTGCCTGTGCCGGTGTGTGGTCTTATAATCAAACAGCGCGGACCTAAGACAAGACAGAGCTGGTGTATGAACCTAGCAGCATACCTGAGAGGCAATATAAACATTGGTAGCTGCATTCTTGGTTGTAAACTGTACTGGAATCACTTACCCAGTGCAGCGTTGACAGGGGTGAGTGTGAGGGAAGAAGAAGGGAGAATCTAATCTCTGGATATAGCGAAATGGCCATGCTCTAGCTGCCTGATGTATTTGTTCAGGGGTCTGGAGAGTTAAACACCCTCAAGTGGCAGCAGCCAAGGACCAACATAGAGGTAACAGTTACTGTAGGAAGGAGAAGGAGCAGCAGCTGTGGTTGCCTTTCAGGTTGCTTCAGGCCCATCTCTAAATCTTATGGCTCCAGCTTAGCCTTAAGCAAAGAAGTATAACAATGATTTGTTGCTTACCGGGTTGTGTAACCCAGCATTATTACTTACAAAGGCGGTCCTGCAAAGCGTGTTGGATAGTGAGTCTAGGTACTGTAGAAGTTGATTGTGATTACTCTTTCCTGAGATTAAGTGGAAATGAAATCCATTATTTACATTCAAGTTTGCCAGGAGCAAGCAAGCAGTTTATGTTTAACCTCTCTGACAGTCCTGCTGATACTGTCTTTGATTTGTTGAGTCTTCGTTTGACCTCTCTCAGCCATAATGTGAAGCAAGGAGCTTCTCCAAGTTCATGTCTAAGTAAGAGGGAAAGCAGGCTGTGCTGAGCTGTGACACTACCACAAGGAAGGCTGGATGTCCCAGATGAATTAACATTTCTGCTTAGTTCTCTCATGATGTGTTTAATTATGGAGAGGTAATGGTTGCCTCAGAAATGGCCTCTGAAGCTGTCTTCATGAGTACTCCACAAACTTACTGTAAACAGAGTAGGACTGTAAACTGGATATTTATGAGCACTGACTGTAAGAGAACAATCTATCAGCAAAGTCTGCGGACTTGTTAACCTTGGTTCCTTGGTCATCTATTGACCTTGTATTTGTGACCTCTAGCATGTTTGCAGCAGGTCATGTCCAAGTAAAAGACACTTTTTCTCCTTTGCTCTGACGTATACTGTCAGCACTGCCTGCCATCAACGTTTCTTTTCTGGAGTATAGCTTCACTATCCCGGTGATAAAATAACTTGAGTCCAGTCCTTGCTCGTGTTCTAGAATAACTAGGACTAACACCAGCTTCTGGATACCAGACCAGCTAAAGACTCGCCTGTTAGTGCAAAGTATTTTAGTAGCTTAAAACCATAGGCAATATAAAAACACCCTGTGCATCTTGCTTACAGGAAGCATGTTTTAATGTAAAAAGCTGTTAATGCCAACATGGGGGAGAATGTTTGTTCAAGCGTGAAGTGGTTTTGAGAGCTCTGAATCCCTCAGGCCAAGAGAAACACTGTGTTGCAGCCATTTTGGGGTGGTTGTGACAGTATTTTTGAGCCTTTGGAACAGTAGGTTTGTCTGTAGGCTAAAGTTATCCTTGCTTATTGGGCCGTCAGACCCCCATGTTGTGTATGCAGATACAGTCAGTCTTGGAGCTCACAAAACACAGGCTCTCTCCTCTTGCACAATGTATACCCATTGCATCTGCAGGAACTCTTCTAACTTCAGGTGTAGGCTTTGGCAGTGGCAGTGTTCAGGATCAACCATATTAGGTACAGAAAGATGTTTTGGCCAGATTGATACACGATCCTCCCCCCACCCCAGTCTGCTTCTCAGAGGATTGCTATAGTGCTAGTGCCATTAGGCCCTGTGTGGTAACTTGTGTTTTGCTTATGCATCTTCCTGAAACGAACTCAACTTAGTGCCTGCACCCAGAGATTTCAAGTACCAAGCTGCCTGTTTTGGTCTTGTTTTGGACAGAAAGATGACTCAGTCTCAAGTTTTATGAGATTTTTTTGTTGTTTTGTTTTTAATAGGAGTGGCTTGTCTTTCAGTAAGGTGTAACTTTCAATGTGGTATAATTCAGTTCCCTACAGAATATTAGACAGGAGAGAGTTGTCATAGATTCTTCAAGGATTTAAATGAAACCAGATGGTAGAGCTTGTAAATTCATAGTTGTGGCCTGAGGGTTACGTAGTCCAGGGTGTAATGGTCTCCTAGATGTGGGTGTGTGTTCTAGAGCATAATCAGTTGTCTTGTTTCCTCATTATTTGCAAACTATGTGTAAGAATATACAACGGAGACATTGTACAAACAAGGAGCTTAGTGTTTCAGTTAGACTCACAACTTCTCTTCTTCCCTACCCCATTTCCTCAGACATAACTAGTCTTGGTATGACTTACTTAGAACAATATTTCTGTTGCTCCAAAGACAAACATTGCAAAGGTAGAAGTAGACAACAAAATACCATAGGCCAAATCATATTGTAAATTATGATCAGGTAGGCTTCTTCAAAGTGGAAAGGAAAGTCAAAGCAGGCAAAGTTGGAGGGAAGGGGAAGCTTTAATATTGGAGTGTTCAAGAAGTACATGGAAAAAGCCCAGCAGTTGTTCAAAAATGTTTTTGTTTTTAGTTCAGTGCTAAACACTTGCAGACTTCACTTATGTGCAGATTCCATTTAAGTGGGTTATCCTGTCTGAAAACTTCTTAAATACCTGTTTGACTTCCTCTTGCTTTGCCACCAAATGAACAAATCTTGTGAGGTTGGTCTGGGAGAGGTGTCCAATGAAAACATACCTTGACTGAATCATCACAGCCAAGATTTAAGCCAAGATGATCTAAAGCACCAGCTTTAAAAATGTGATTGTCTTTTGCTGCTTCAGGTCTGATGCTGAGATATGTCTGCAGTTTTTAAGGTCACCTTTAGACCTCAGCTAGGTGCTCAAAAAGCAATGGCTCATCTTCTGACCTCATTTGATTGAGAGTTGCCTAGACACGACTGGCCACACAGCACTGCAGCTGCCTGCAGTTTTTGATTCTTGCAGTTCAAAAGAACAAAACAAAACCAGCTGTTAATCAGCTTGTTGTTTTCATTAGCAACTTCTGACTGTTGCTGTTTCTTTAGCAACAGTTAAAGGTAGTTTGGTTGGTTGGGGTTTTTTCCCTGCATCGGGTGCTACATTAGGTGCCATAATGTTGATTCTCCTGTGGTTTCTGTTGAGGTCACTGCTGCTGTTGTTGCATGCAGAAAGGTATTACTACATCTATTGCTTTCTTGTTTGCTTTATCAATACGTCAGAATGCCATCTCTTTTGGACTGTTTTGGTAGGGGGTTGTGGGTTTTTTTGGTAGGGGAAAACTAACCATGGCTAGTCTCTGACTCCCAGGCCAGAAAATAGCTTTTATAGTCACTTCACTCAAATGTGTCTCAACTAATCTCTATGTTTGTAAACCAAAGAGGGGACTCTATAGCTGATTGTTCACAAAGAAACAATACATTCTTTGTAGAAGGCTGTAACCAGGTCTAAGGAGAAAAAAAACCCAAAAAAACACCAAGCAACTTTTTTTGCTTAGGAAAGGTCTTCCTGTGTCATGAACCTTCTGGGAACCCTTGATTAACTATTACTGTTACAGGAACTCTGCATACTTAAAAGGGCTGAATAGGATTAGCTTGGCTGAATTCGGTCCCTTAGCATATCAGCATGGAAGTCAATAAATAGTTCTTAGATTCAGTATTACTTTAATCATAAAGAAAGTATGGATAAAAGGGCCGTGGGATGTCAGTCTAGCTTTACCCCTACCTCAGGGCAGAAACAGCTCAATCTAGGTAAAACCTTGTTTGAGTGTAGTGTAACCTGTTTGTTCTTGAAGATAGTCAATAATAATAGCTCTACAGCCTCTGGGGCAACTTGTTCCAGAGCTTTAACCATGCTTTTATCCTTGGAAATACTTAGTAATGTAAGACTTGTCTTTTTTTTTTTTTTTTTTTTTTTTTTTTTAAAGGTTATCCCATAAACCCCAAAACAAAAAACTCCCCCCCAAAAAACCAAAAACCAAAACAACAACCTGGCCTTACATTAATAAAGTATTTGCAGTTCTTAAGGACATCTGCACTCTGTCTTTTGGTGTCTTCTAGGATTCTGTAAGCAATAATTGACTAATTTACCTTTTTTTTTTTTTTTTTTTTCCCTCTTCTCATTAGAATATAGTGGCAGTAGGAGCTGGGTTCTGTGATGGCCTTTGCTGTGGTGACAATACCAAAGCTGCTGTTATTCGCCTTGGCCTAATGGAGATGATTGCCTTTGCCAGAATTTTTTGCAAAGGACAGGTGTCTATTGCCACTTTCCTGGAGAGCTGTGGAGTCGCTGATCTCATCACAACATGTTACGGTGGCCGGAATCGACGTGTAGCAGAAGCGTTTGTTAAAACTGGAAAGGTACCTTATTCACTGGGTGAAATCCATTGTTGGAAGTACTAGCACTCCTGGTTTGTTGGAGTAATAGTACAGTTATCTGAGACATGCTAGCTGTACTGAGTGAGTACCCTTCTCTTTCCTCTCATTTTTGAGTGTGTTACAAGGCTAGAATGAGTGTAAAGGTGTTAAAAAGGAGGGGTGATTAAAAAAAAAAAAGCTGGAGGGATAAGATGTTGGGAGATGCAGATTTAAGAAAGAGAATATTTGCAAACAATATAGGAGAATATATATGCTTACTCAAGTACACTTTTGAGAAAGGAAAAACCCTCATTAACATCTTTTTTTTTTCCCATCCAGATGATATTGTCAGGGTTACGAAAACTTTATCATAGCTCTCCTTTTCTTCCTCTCCCCCCGTTGTTTAGTCTATTGAAGAATTGGAGCAAGAAATGCTGAATGGTCAGAAACTGCAAGGACCACAGACTTCTGCAGAAGTGTATCGCATCCTCAAGCAGAAAGGAATGCTGGAAAAGTAAGTAAGAACAGATAAAACAAGTTCCACATGCCCCTTTTTTATCTCCATAACTGTTTTTTCATTTTTGGTCTTGATATCTTCATGAAGGTAATAGCAAAAAAGAAAATCACTGTAATAAGAGTAGCTTAATCCCCAGTTAAAAATCACAGAGAAGTGAGTAAAACCTCAAAATAATATTGCTGTAGATAGAGCTAATAGTGTGACATTAAATTTGTGAATGCTCTTGTGTTTACAGAATGTATTATTGCCTCCTGCTATCATAGAAAAGCATAGCAGAGTGTGTTTTAACATGTGAAAAGAATAAAATACATGAAAATGAAGCTGATCTTCCTAAAGAGACTTGTGAAGAGGCTCTACAGCTCATTTCATAGTAGTAAATTCATTGCTTATCTCCAAGGAGAGGATCTTTGTTATTAAGGATCTGTATAGTTGATCAGCTGAATAGAGTGTCTGCTTCTATCCACATGGATTCTAGCTTAGATACTGCAGTGTTCTTTCCTAATGTGACTTCCAGTTTGCTGTAGGATAAAACCTGCCATCTGCTTGTGCAGGTCAGGGTTTTTTTGTGGTATGAAATTAAGCAGGTTGTCCTGGCTTCTTCATTTGTATTCGAGTCAGAACATGTATGATTCCTAAAGCCACACACACAGTTGTCTCCTTATGAGATTAAGGGATGCATTATTTCTATCCGTTCCTGTTTGTAGAGGAGGCAAAATCAGAAAATAAATGACTGCCAGTCAGAAGACCAAGCCTTGTTACTTTCTTTTTCCAAAGCAGTTTTTAAAGTCTAGTTTTAATGGATCAGCTACATTAAGTTCCTTGTTTTTTAATATTATCTTTGGGAATAAGGCACCTGTCTCCCCAGTGTACAGTAATGAAGCTAACTGCAAAAAAAAATCTAATTAAAATCCTGGCTTCAGTCTTTGCTGTTTATGATTCCCTAAATGAGACAGGATGCTGTGTTTGGGGTTTGTTGGGTTTTTGTTGTTGTTGTTGGTTGGTTGTTTTTTTTTCCCTGTTCTATCTTAGAACAAATAGAGTGCATTATAGAAGACTTTGGGTGTGTTTTTAATGAAGGATAGGAAAACAGAGAGTTGCTAATTTCTGTTTGGTATACCAACATGTATGTGTCAGTTCTGCATAAAAGGTCTCATTCAACAAGAGTTTTGAAAGCAACTTTCAAAGTGTTTTTCAAAAACTGTCTTGCTACTGCTTTAAAACACAAAACACAGTAAAACAGCCATGGTTTCAAAGTGAAGAGGTAAGAGTCTAGTAGGAGTAAAATTTCATACTCTCACCCTACAAGAAGAGTCCCAAGGCTATGCAGAAACATGCAGAAGTCAAAGTTCAGTAGAAGAGCCTTGGTAGCGGGGTTGATGCCTATTGATATTTACAGTGCAATTGATTTTTTCATTTCAACAGTTGTAGAACTAGTCCTCTTAATGTGCTCAGACGTAAGATGCATTTCGAGTTTGCTGGCCATGAGCCTGCAATCAGCCTTGATTCTGCTTTCCCCGTGTGAAGTGCAGCAGACCTGTGCACAGCAGAGTCATGTTCTCTGTTATAAACAGCAAGACTTATGTATCAAGATGTGGTTTGTAGCAGTGGTGCTTCTTCACTGAGAAGTAACTGCCAGTACTGTATCTAAAGCTGTGTGGAACTTGGTTTTGCTTCAGAAGGCTCATGTGTTTTGTGGCCACCCCTATAAAATCTCACATAGGCATAATAAATTTTATTTTAGTGTTTAAGTTTTTACAGTAAAAGCAAATTTAGCCCCCTCCCCCAGCCCAATGTATTATACAAAATCAGTGATAAGTGAGGCATGTTACACTTTTGCATTTATTAAATTTTTTTCTGCATATTTCCTAGTAAGGGTTTTGCAACCTATACAGTGTAGCATTGGATTTGAAAGAGCAGCTATGTGACTATATGCTAATTTTGGTTCCACCGATGAAATAAAAACAAAAATCAAGTCAGTTGGACTGACCTGAAATAGTTTTTGCTATTGCTGCTATTTTTGTCTTGTTCTCCACAAAAATAAATCGAAAGAAATGGACATGCATTCATAGCAGGACATTAAAATGCTTCAGATAATTCAAAATGTAGCATGCAGTAATAAAAGCCACAGAAACAATGGACTAAATTCACAAGCATGTCCATTCCCCCACTGTTTTTCCCCCAGTAATGCAAAGTATTGCATTCAGGCAAGTACGAATCTTGTATCTGCCCCTGCGAGTGCAGTAGTCACCATGCTGTAATGGTACTCCTGAACGGCTCACGGCTTCTCTCGTGACCTCTGGTTCACTTTGGCAAGTCTAGTTCAGAGCCATGTGGTGATACCAGAGTTACCTCAGTATAACACATGCTGACAGAGTGTATGGGCAAGCAGATACGGTGCTCAGTACTGGCTGGGGGTTCTGCTCAGTGCTGCATTTCTGCATTACAGGTAAAGCTTTAGAGCGACTGATGGGACCACTCTCCTGAGGAGAAAGTCCTAGTCCAGATGTAGTCTGAATCACTCGGAAATTAACTATTTCACCATCTCCAGTGCTCCTTATGTTTTATTTCAGTCAAAATAACGTAGTGTGTTTGGTCAAAATTGATCAATACAAAAGGCCACACTGAAATGGCATGTTTATTCTGGTGAACAGATAATTAATCCCTAAAATTCACCAGGCTCTGTGTGAAAATGGGAGTTGTCTGGCTGTCACTGTCCAGGATGGACAGAAAGCAAATGTAAATTTCTGTAATGCATCTTGGCTCTAACAAGCCTTCAAATTATCAGAGAAGCCTGAGTAATTTGAGGGTTGTTGGAAATGTGGCCAGTTTAAAAAAGAAAAAAAGAAGAGATAGAATTTCGTGTTTCAAAATCCACATTTAATTTTGGACTCTTTATAAAAACTTGACCTTCAATTTCTTCTTGGGTCTCTTTGTGTTGTGTTCTGCAATTGTATTATCAAAGTATTGCTCAGAGATAATGCATAACTGATGTGCCAGTCATCCTTTTTAACCATAGATGAGTGCTGCTATAAGAATGTCAAGGAAAGATGCAAGTGTTTTTTATTTTTTAATTTTTTAGATCACTTAATGGTTGTGCCATACATAATGAATGTTGCAGGCTCCATTATAGCTAGCTAGGCTTCTGAGAGTGACTCATTTCAGAGGTGCGTGTAGGTTCTGTATTTATCCAGTGCTTTTCAGCCCAGCCTTAGCACTTGACAAATACTAAAAGAAATGGATTTTTTCAGTCTCTCTCTTGCCCCTCCCTCTCCTCACCCCATTTTCTTTCTTTCATTTAAGAAAATGTTACAGAATAAACTTAAGCTGCATTTGCTTTCCCCACCCTGTTTCCTCAGGTTTCCACTATTCACTGCTGTGTATCAGATCTGCTATGAAGGGAAGCCGGTCAGAGAGATGATATCCTGCCTTCAAAGTCATCCAGAGCACATGTAAAATCAATCAGGCCATCGTACTAATGCAGCTCACTGCCTTTCAAACTTATATCTGGGTTCAAGTGGATGTATCATTAAGCTTCATTCAAAGCTGCTCTACTAGGCAACAGTAACGACATGAATGTCTGTGAATGGGTGTTTATTTTTTGTTTTACAGCCTAGTTTGACATAGCATGCAGCGTTGGCTTGGTGATTGTTGTTTTACTGGCTAAAATACAACTGTTTTAAGATGCGCAATGCAAAAATTGCACTACATATCTAGTGCATATACACAAGTGTACTTTGTGTGGGTTCCTACACCATAAAACACAATGTTTTGTTGTCTCTTATTAAGGCCTAGTCCAAAATCCACTGGACACCATGGGAAGAATCCCACTGGTTTTGATGGAGACTGAATTGAGCCTGTAACCTTGAAATATTAGGAGTCTTTCTATTAGAACTTGGTTTTATTCTGCATACACATTGGAATTTTAACATTTTGCATGTTTATGATTATATTAATTTAAGCAATATTAATGCAAAACAAGTGGTAGCAGTTATTCAGAAGGCTACAGGGATATTTTAATGAACTCTGGTGAAGAATATTTTGATTTTTGAAAGTCTTTAAAACTGTCGGACTATTTTGAAACGAGTTTCTAAGTGAATTTAAAGTTTTTAATTACACTGTTTTAAAGGGAATATACTAGAAGGGGGATCATTACCTCCCCTTCTGTTTTTTAATCTTTGCATTTTTGTATTTCTCTGTTTCTCCCTTGCTGTTCCCAGGAGTTAGGCTCTTCTAGAATCCCATTCCCCCAAACAAGTGGGAGATGTTGACCTGGGGATTCTGAACCCTGGAGCCTAGGGTTCATTTTAGTGTTGTACCTGTGGTCATTCTTCTGGTATCATTTGGTGGGTGGGGAAGGAGACTCTTGGGTATCCCCTGCTCAAAATTGTCATGCTGTGTTTCTAGCTCAACTATCAGCTACAAAGTGTTGCACTCCACACAACGCTCCAAGGAACGTTTGGGGAATTCCCTGGTAGATTATACTTGTGTTGTCAAAAGAGTTAAGTGCCAGTACGATGACTGCATTCATTTCAGTGCCTGCCAGTGACTGACACGTCAGCTGGGCTGTAGTCCTGAACCAGCCTCCCCAGAGAAATGATGAATTCTGAAGTTACTCTTTCACTGGACAAAACTTTAATGGGTGCTGGATCAAGTCCTTTATGACCAATCTCCCAGAAAGCTTCTCAAAGGCATCTTTCTCTTTTATTCCCCCGGTATCTCAACTAGGTTTTTTTCAGGCACCTTTGCTTTATCAAGGAGGTTAATTTTATTTATTATTGGAAAATTTGTGATTTTATGGAGTTCGGGGGTGGGGTTGGCTTGGTTGGGGTTTGGTTTTTTGTTTGTTTTGTTTGTTTGTTTGTTGGTTTTTTTAAGAAGGTTGATGCAAGAAAATGAAATCTGTCTTGCTTTTCTTGTATACTAAACTGTAATTTTTTTGGTGAAATATATGCTAGGTACATAAAGAGTGGACTCATTCTTGAAGCTGAGAGACAAGGGTTAGCATTGAGATTTACAGAGCTCAAGAAGAATGCCCATCCGCTCTGAATATCCACTCCAAACCTCTGAGCAGTATCAGAACTGTTGTTCACTGTGCTCAGTGATGTTTTTAGACCAGAAATCACGAGCACAAACCCATCCTGAAGCTTTACGTTGTCATTCAAAACTTGCTAAAACAAAGTGGGTGCCTGGTAATAATTGTCATACTTACTTAAGTAGCCTGGATTACTCTGAAATAGGCGAGCATTGGGGCAACTTTGTATAAACAGGAAGATGCTTCAGCTCAGGGTACCATTTCTTGTGATCCTATAACATTTTGCATTAATTTTTGGAAGATCTCGTGAATGTCCTCAGGTATTCAGGGATGTGAAAAGTTATTTTGCCTTATTTCTGATTCAGTGCTAAATATAACAGATAATGGCCAGAAGTTAAGTAACATCAGATGTTTGTGGCAATTGGGGAAGTCACTGGTAGAGCTGACTTGGAGGAAGCACTCTGGTTAGACAATTAAAAGGATGTTTTAAGATTGGAAGCACTGTTACACTAACGCACACGTGGAGCATACACTCCTCATTGCTGCATAACTTTCAGTGTGTCTGCTTATGCTTTGTGTTGGTTTTTTTTTAATGCCAAGCTGATTGGCTTTGCCTTTATATGTGTATATATACATATATATATATAAACTTCTTTTTACATGCAGTATGTAGAACAGTAGCATTTTGTAAGATACATAAAGGGCTATATGAGCTAAATGTGGTAAATTAATATATATTTTAAGATGATTTCTTTATTATTCCAATACTACTTCTACCACTGAGACCCCAAAATCTTAGTTGTTCTTGTTTTGTACAGAAGCCTATTCTAAGGCAAATCCAGAGAAAAGGTTTTTATGGAATTCTTTCCTCCGGTCTATAATTATATTCTTGTTCTTTTCAGACAAAAAGTGATGTTTCAGTAACTAAAATAACTTATTTAAATTTCTACAGATACTTCACCATTTGTATTTCCTTTTCAGTGCCTGAGAACATTCAGCTTGGCACTAGATATTTTTCCCCCACTAATATTTACTGCTCATTAAAAGACTGTGATATGATACTGGAACTGAGTGGCCAGAATCCTCTTCTACAAACACTGTTTTGCCTGGTACTGGGATAGTCTTACTGAAAACGCTGTGTAAGGTTTTTGCATACAAGATCGTAAATTTGTAACTAATTCTTGATTTATGAACGTTAATTACTAAGGAAGGCATTATCTTCTAATGATACATACTGCCCTAGACATGTGTACTGATTTTTGTTTAAAGATTGTGAATGTATGTGCATTTGAAGAGTTAGCACAAATAAACATTTTTGTCTTGGGAATCACTTTGGTTTCTCTTGTCTCATTTTACATGGCTTGCGATTAATATTTTATTCACTTGATGGAATGTAGGTTTTTGTGGATATGGTATGTAATGATAGCAGATATGAGATTGCCACGCAAGAACTTAAATTTTTAAAAGAGCTATTTGACTTCCAGATGTCAGCATTTTCATTTCTGTCCATTAGTGAAACAACTTCAATGAAAACGGTGTCTTTGACCTCTGAAACAGGTTCTCGTCTTCAGTTCCTCGAGTTGCTCTCTGAGCCACTGGAGGGCACTGGTGGGTAAGTGACCAATTCTGCCTGCTCCGCAGTTGCTTTTCTTCCCATTTATTTCTGAATTTCCTTAGGTTCCTGTATGACTGCAGCTGTCTCACACTGTGTTCCAGGTATTTGGAGGTGGTTATAGTTCGGCACCAGATGCATGTGTTGTGGATCCACTGGAAGTGAGAGAACGAGCTTGCTGTAAAACACCCAGCACCTTACTACCTCTGCCCAAGGCCCTGTCTTGCCTGCTGTCGAAGACCCGCCCAGTGCAGAGCAACAGCCACCACCTCAGCTCTTGGACAATATGGTCTGTGAGATTTTTCAGCATCACTTGGGGTCCTGTAATGTGCATCCAGCAATCCTTGTTTCTGTTGCATCTTGAAGTTGCAAGAGCCTGGAAAATGATGAGAGCACATTGTGCTCAGTTTTGTCAGTTTTTACCTCAGCTGAAGGGGTGGGAGGTGTCACAAGTGTTTAACCAGGGAGAGGAAGATCTACTACTTAGTTGTGGGGCACCATACTGTAAAGGAAGCACGTTTTTTTTGGTGAACAGAATAACGCACTGTCTACTGGAAAGCCTCAAAGCATTTCATAAAATGAGAGCAATGTCCTAATTCCTCAGTTACAAATAGGGATACTGAGACAGGGAAAGGTGGTTGCCCGGCAAACCTGTGACTGGATGTATTTTATTCCTAATTTTAAGCCAGAGTTTCAGCCATTAGGTCATTTCTCGTTGTACTTTTAGCTCAAAATTGTATTTATTTTAAGGATGCATGAAATCAACTAGTAGAATAAATATGTAGGTATCTAAAACATACCATCCAAAGGGCCTTTAATTCTAGTAAGTCTGAGTCAAAAGGAAAGTAAAAACCATCACAAGAGAATTAGGATGGATACGTTTCTTTCATATGGGCATTATCTTCTGAAGGGGTGGTGGTTTCTCGCTAAATCGGTGCTTACAGGCTGGGTGTCTTTGATCGTCTGACTGTAAATAACACCCAGGCTGGCCCCAAGATAGATATGGGAAACATGGCAGACGAGAAGTCCGTTTTCAATGGCCTGTGCTGATGCTTCTTCATAATGCTTCCACCCTGGATTTCATTGTAAGGCTGGAGTTGTATGAATGAAGTACACAGGTATCACAGGGGCTGCTTAATGCTGAAATAAAATGTCGTCCCCGAACACGTAGCACTTCATATTATTAGAAAGCGTAAAACTATTTCTCTTCTGCCTGTCTCCTGGCCACACAGTTTACTCCTGTGGTTTGCCATGAGCTGATAGTAATCTGAGCACTAAAAGGTAACACTTCTATTTTGAATAATGGATGAGAAGAGCATCTGCCTGCAATCCCAGCATGTGCAAAGGAGAGGTGTTTGGCATTCAGATTAAATGAAACCTAGTTCTCTTATCAGTCTGTTCTAACTTGATTTCAGGTTCCTGCCAATATGCTTTGGGTAGGGACTTTCAGATACCCTCCATTTATCAGTCTAGTCCTGCTCTTATTGAAAGCAATCGCAGAACTGGATTTTAAGAGGAGAACAGTAGGGTGATGCCCAGCATAATGGTATCTCTGTCCGAGTTCCTCATGTCTAAATTGAATTTACCTATTTGTTATATTTACCTATTACCTACAGTATGTTTTAAAGCGATGTTGTGAAAGATAATTGTAGGGAGCACTGGGAACTGTATGTTATTTCAGTAAGTTACTAGAAACAGCATGAATTACTGCTTTTTAAATGTATGTCCTTCTGGTAACTCATGCTGAAGGAATTAGTGAATAATAAATAAAGCTCAGCTCTGACCTGTGAGCAGTCTGGATTGTTTAGGTGGGGGTAACTGCCCAGTCTGCCCAGTATAATCCGTATTGCACTCTGTGATGTTAGCACTGCTTGTTGTCACTACGCTGCCTGTTTTGTTTTCTCAGCTGGATGAGAGTCATTTAATGTCTTTCACCCTACAGCTTTTCTTCATATCTATTCCAGCTTCCCTCTCGTCTTTATGTAGCTGCACCTGTATCAGCTATTTTGTATTGAACCTTAAGAAGGGTTCTTCATATCAAAAGAGGTGGGTGTGTGTACATGCATACGCATATGCTCATCTATACAGGTAAACCCCTACCTACCTCTTACTGAACATTTGCATGCACAGGTAAGCCTCGCAAGGGGCTGGGAATTTTGCACAGGCTTTTAGCAAGGCCGCCAGCAAGACCGATGTTCAGCTGCCTCTGCACCAGCTGTGTCCATCCATTCATTTGAAGCTGCTTGGTTGTGAAGCTAGTGCATAGATCTCTTCCAGACCATCTGTCGTGGTTTAACCCCAGCCAGCAACTAAGCACCACACAGCCGCTCGCTCACTCCCCGCCG